TTGACTTCTTTTGACTGAATTAAGTTTGTGAACAGAAGTTCCAATGATAAAGCAGTTGGAATGATGATTTTCTTTGAGAAGGCGAGCATTCTGGATGTAAGAGTCTCAGTGGGTGTAGTGCCCATGCGTGTTAATTAATGTTTAATTATTTTCATTTATAGCTAGAGGGTCAGAATGAAGGTGGTAGTTGCCCAAAGGCATGAGAAGCAAATGAAACAAAGCATGGAAGAAAAAGCATGGGGGAAAATGGCGGTTTTCCTTAAAGATGAATTTTGCTAAGATAATAGAAGTTCTAGCATTATACTAGATATCCTTAGGAATTTAAAACAACCTGGCTTCCAATACATTGGCTATTGCAGTTGTAAAATGCAATAATAAGTCCTCTCTTCCTTTTACTGTGCTAAATGTGTATGCAAGGTGCCCTGTATTCATGGCATTCTGGATGTTTTAGCAGACAGTCTCTAGTCTTCCCAGTCAAATTCATTTAAAGAGACAACATGTCCTCTATTCAATGTAATGTATCCAATATAACTGAATATACTATCCAACAACCTAGACAGACATCATAATGTTTCCAAATAACCCACTTTATTAATCAAGGATGGACTGCAACCCCTTAAAAGGATTTCAAATGCATTAAGATTTTACCTAGAAATTCTTGGGCTCTCAACTTTTTATGAAGTAGTTTTCAGACTCTGAAGCAAGCAAGTACTCAGCAAGAAGTGATATATGTGGGAAGTAATCAAGTTTTCAGTAAATGGCACAGGAAGGCACAATTCACTGCTGTTTAAATGCTTTCTCCTTCAGAGAGAACCCAAGCACCGGTCGTCTCTGTGGAGACTTCTCTAGATGTCTAGACTTCTGAAGCTTCTCTCTAGAGGCAAGACTAGAAAAGAAGAGTTGCAAGGGAAAAATATTTATCTGGGCAGACTCACATTTTCCCTGATACAGGTGAGATTCTGGAAACCAACAAAAAATTAGGATGAGGGAAATATTTGGTGAAAGAAGAAGAAATAAGGAGCTCAGCCAGAACCAATCCATAGCAAAGTAATTAGAAAAAAATCTGCATTATAAAATGAATGAATGCAGTGAGACTGACAATTGGGAGAGGAGATCAGGGCAGAATATATGATTCTAGAACCAAGGACCTGTTTACAATGGCTAGTTTTACCAGTTTTCAGCTTTTTAGCCTAGTGAAATAGGCTAAATGCATTTTCAGTATTTAGTGAAATAGAAAAAATAAAATTGATATACTTATATTACCTATAAATGACAAGCTTGTATCCATTTCTCTTTTTGCCTGTCCACATCAGAATTCATAGCTCCAAATTAGTAGGTCTTTCCCAATACTAATTCTATTGATTGCTCTAATTAGTACCCCAAAACTGTTATAAAAATAAGCAGTGCAGTACACTAATTTTTAATTTAGTCAAACCGCTTATTTCTGGTCAGAGAACACGACTCATGGAGATCTTATTTTTCAGTACATTTTGTCCATTTGCCTTCGCTAAAAGATAAAAAGATCTGTTTGATGCCAGGGACATGGCAGGTGGGCATTTGACTTCACCGCAGGCACATGGTTCAAGAAAACACATTTGCTGATAAAAAAATACAATCTCCAAAGAATACCTTTCTACTCAGTGAGGATTATTTATAACTTGAGAGATAGAAAGTTTCAAACATCGAGTGAAAATCATTAACACTAACTTGAATCAACTCTTCATGAAGAGGGACTTTAATAAAGTCCTCACAGGATGCCCTAAAAATATGACCAGACAGTTGAAAATGGGACTGGAAGATAAATGGAGAACTGGCAGTGAACTGCAAAGTCATAAAATGGGTCTTGAGGTTTCGCTGCTGTTTTCCCAGTCACTAGTGATCTTTTTCTTTCTGGTTACTGAGTCTTCTTCCAGCATTTTCTTCAAAGGGAATGATAGTCCAACATCTCTGAGGCAATATGACTATTCTGCTTAGAGTCCAGTGAGTAATGAGATCCCTAAGATAAACATCTTTTTCCTTGTTTTAAAATTCCTACAGCTTCTTCACAGTTTGTAAGCCGTCCTCACATGCTGGGGGGAAAGGCAGCTCAAATAGAGAAGGGACCACAAGTAAAGGATGCTTGGAGAGCCCGCTCGGGATGGGAGATGTGTGCTGAAAGTAGACTACAGACTGAACATGATGGCCACTTAATGCCTGCATTGCAAACCACAACATCCGAAAGGAGAGAGAGAGCAAAAGGGAATGTGCCTCTGTCACAGAGGCAGGGGATGGGGGATGGGGTGGGGGTGATGGGAGGGATACTGGGATCACTGGTGGTGAAGAATGGGCACTAGTGGAAGGATGGGTACTTGACCATTGTATGACTGAAATGTAAGCATGAAAGTTTGTAAGACTGTAAATGTACATCATGGTGATACATTAAAAATAAATAAAGAAAATAAAAAATAAAATTCCTACAGTTTCAGAATTTACCCTTACCAACCAGGTATGTCCAGGATCCCACAAATATGTATTTTGTTGGGCTGAAGAGGTGGGACCGGGATTAGTACCTACAAGGTGCTTGTCTCGCATGAGGCTGCCTCCAGCACAACATATTGTCCCCTGAACACTGCTAGGAATGATCCTAGAGCACACCAGTAGGAGTAGGGACTGCTGGGTGTGGCACTCCTGCCACAAAATGTACTTGCTCAGTCTGCACTTATATCATGGCCCTACCTGGAACACTTACGGAATCTCTCCTTAGATTCAGGATGATTTATAACCCACATTTAGTACCATTTTCTCTTCTAAGCTTTCTCTCAGTATGTAGTCCTTGGAGTATTCTATCCTTTCTTCAGAATAGCAGTTAAAGCTATGTTTCATATCTGGTAGTGCTGATACATGATATTAACTTTTTGTTATATGTTAGTTTCTCCGGGCTATTTGAATTCGGACCTAGTCTACTCAGAATGGCAGATGGACCCAGTTTTTCTAAGTTTCTTATTCAGAAGTGATTATTATTACCAATTTACACCAAGGCTTAGTATATACTCATTTACTTATAATCATTTTGTAATACATTCAGGCCCACCCAGCTGCCATGGAAAGATACCACAATTAATCCTTAAAAAGAAAAGCAATCTTTTGAGATTCCCTGAATGACACCATTTATCAAATGTTTATTTTCATGACACCATTTTTCCTACATGCATAAAAAAAGTTGATAAGACCTTCCAGATATGTGGAAAAAAAGATACTGCAAAGGAAACCAAAATGACCACAAGGATACAAATAAAACTTTGAGACAAATTGTTCAGCAACAATTAATTTTTAAAAATGCAACCAAAAATACAGTTCAAGAAAAATGGAGTGAAATGGAGCTCGGTGAAGCTGACTAAAGAAATTGCAGATAAAGCAGAAGAGGAACTGCACCAAGCTATGCATTGAGATAGAAGAGCAAAGATTGAAAGGGCAAGGCTAGAGAGATAGCATGGGAAGAAGGGCACTTGCCTTGCATGATGGCAATCCCGGAATCACTGTTCTCTGAGTACCACTAGGATCACTCCTGTGCACAGAGCCAGGAATAGCCCCTAGACACTACCTACCGTGTCTAAAAGAAAAATCTACTTTGGGACACATGAATTTCCTCTCTCTGCCTAAGCAGAATTCTATCTTTGGTTATTTACTTAGTCATGGATTCTACTATGTGGGAATAGTCTGAGAGGAAGAAGAAGGAATATTCACTCCAGCCCACTATTTAGTATTGTGAACAGAGGTAGTCATTTGATCTCTCTTTCTCATTACATAATAAAGATAATACCACTTTGCTCATTCCTTTATCAGTTCACCAGAAATTTGTTAAGGGCGCAGCCCATTGTGCTAAGAAGGCGGGCTGGAGCGATAGCACAGTGGTAAGGCGTTTGTCTTGCGCTCAGTCAGCCCGGCCGAGCTGGGTTCGATTCCTCTGCCCCTCTTGAAGAGCACGGCAAGCTACCGAGAGTATCTCACCCGCACGGCAGACCCTGGCAAGCTACTTGTGACATATTCAATATGCCAAACACAGTAACAATAAGTCTCAAAAAATGGAGACGTTACTGGGCCCGCTCAAGCAAATGAACAACGGGAGGACAGTGACAGTTGTTAAGCACAAAGGCACAATTGAGCAAAGCAGACATGGTTTTTGCTCCACTGAAGAGTCCAATTTTTCTCACAGGATTATTAGTTTCAGAGATGAAAAGTGCCTTTGAACCTCAAAGCACTATACTGTGGAGAGTCTTCAACTTCCACTTTTGATCTATCTGGGCTTTACTGTTCTCATCCATGAAATGAAGTTCTTGTCCTACATTCTTACGCTTGTTTTTGAGCCTTACTCGGCAGTGCTCAGGCCAGGCGCTATGCTCAGGGGTCACTCCTGGTGTTGTTCTGAAGACCAGGAGGTGTTGAGAATTGAGCCAGAGCCTCTTGCATGCAAAGCATGCATTCCAGCCCATGGAGCTATCTTTCTGGTTCCACAACCTAAAATGCAAGTATTCCAAGTATAAACGAAGAAGCTGAGATTTTTAAGCACTTCTGAATCATGGCTTCCTAAAAGATTATTAGGAAACTGTTCAGATGTAAAAAAAAAAGTATGCAAACAACATAACACCCCTGTGTACCAACAACTTGACATAAGATAGAAAACATTATGAGAAGCTCTATTAGTGACACGTCTTCCTTTTCCACAGAGGAAGCAGCTGTGACTGTGATAAATTTGGTGCTTTATTATTCTGAGTCTGGGCCTCTCTGGGTAACTTGGCATGAATAAGAATGGTTCACCATGAAGAGTTCTCCCTGTACTTAGGGGTTTCTGGTTTCTGATGAATGTGAGGTAAGGAGAGTACACAACAGAGCTCAAGTACCAGCCTGCTCACTTTTTGCTACCTCAACTGCAGTTTACCCAGATGACATGTTAGAAAAGCCATGCAGAATACCACCCCCCCGCCCCTTCTCCGCTGCCTTTAGAAGGGGCGATGTTAATATACCTTGAGAGCCTTTTGTGCAGATTCACTGGATCCAATTGCAATTAGGTTAGGCCCAGCCATGCTGCAGAAACTCTTCAAGTGCAAAGCATCAATTACCGGGACTGTGGAAACAGCATAGTCCTATGGATATGATAGAAACATGCATTTTGGCATTGCAGAATGATACTGATTAAAGCCTATCTGAAAAATGCAACTGCTTCTCTGAAGGTTGTGAGGTATTCTGAACATCTAGAAAAAAACCCACAACCTAGATACCCACATGTTTTGCTTTTTGCAGAAGAATCTTAAAAAGAGAGTACAAAGCCTCCTCCTAGGGGTGGGTGAGTTTCCCTCTCCACCCCAACAGAGCCCTGGAAGCTGAAAACCTCCAGATATCACACTGCCATGCCCACAGCTGCTCTCCACAGGCCTGGACAGGCTTCACCCATGAGTGAATCTGCTGTATAATTGTATTCTAAATTTTAGAATTCCTGGAGTGGGTGGCCACTCGAGCTCTCATACTCTATACCACTGATGTGCCAAGAGTATACACCATCTGATGGGGTTTAACAAACATGTCTGTAATCTCTTATACCAGGGCTTAGTGGCTCCAGGATGAAATACAACAATCTTAATACATTTTCTTCTAAGGAAACTTTATTGGATCATTTTTGGTGAATTATTCATAACAAGCAATACAAAATTTATGGTCTCGGTTCTGCTTTGGGGGCACAGTTTGGGATCTGGGGTGGAAACATTCGAAATAAGGTGGCAAGAAGGTGCAATGCTGGTGGGGTTGGGGTTTGAATATTAAATGTAATGAATTATTGTGAGCAACTACAAAAATAAAATTAAATTAAAAATAAAAACCAAAATAAGCCTCCTCCTAGACATATGGTTGTGTCAACAGCTTCACTGGCTGTCTGATTTGCAGCATTCACTACTCTGGATGTGTGTGAATAGTTTGTGTAGGCTGAGTCTCAAACTCTTCTTGGAGATGAGAGCTTCCTGAGAGTTTTATTCCTTCCTAAGTAGTATGGTGAGTCAATTTATTCATATCAGTTAACCAAGTAAAGGAAACTTCACTTGGAATAACTCACACAGCTTTCCTAGTTGGTGAGTATAAGTGACTCCTGATTTTGATTTGTAAAACGCACATTTTATGTCAGAGAAAATTGAGTACATAATAAAACAATCATCAATTTCACCAAACAATACCTCTCACTCAGGTCGTTGTGAGATTATATGCTGTGAAGAAGGAAATTCACAATGACTTCATTGATACTGTGGGAGCCCAATGAAGCCTATGCAATAAGAAATCAGAACTTAATAATTTCTAAAACATGTTTAGCAACAAAAACATTTGAGGAATTTATTTGGCATGCTGGTGACATTAAATACCATTACTTATTCCATGTCACTTCACTGACCTATAAGCATTTATTAAGCAATTAACTCTGTGTAAGGTATAAATGATCCTTTACCTACCTTAAAGGTATCAGCCAAGATTTCAGCACCTCGTTGATTTGTCCTTTTGGAAAGTCCCACAAAAAATTCTCTGCCTATAATAAATGTCAGGGAAGAGAGTGAGTGGGCGGCCAGTTGTATATAAAATGTAAAAAATATTGAGAAATCAGTATAATTTTGCACTAGAGCATTAGGGTACAGTTTAAGAAAATTAGCCATATAGAAGAAGAAATTGCTTGATTGACCTTACAAATGTTAGAATTTTAGTCTTTATTTACCCTTTTATAAGATGAAAATAGCTTAGGTAAAAATATAGGATTTTCCTGCGGCTTGTGCTGTGATCTTACCTAGACAATTGAATCTCTGGTGAAATATTAACATTTAAATTTTTTTCATATTTTGTTTTGGTACAATTATTTTGATCATTTAAGAAAACTCATTAAATACAAAATAAAAATTTGGGTTATGGAGAAGTCTTTCACTTAACAAAATTAATATTTGCTTTATTAAAAAAGCCAGTGATGGAACATTGTATGACTGAAACCCAATCATGATAACTGCATATCTCATGGTGATTCAATTAAAAACAAACACACACACACACACACACACAACAAAACAGTTACTTAATTCTTTTAAGATAAAAGAGAAATTTTCTTGACAAAAACGAAAACTGTTAAATGATCATTTGTGCAATTCTTTTTTTTTTCACTAGAGGAGAGCAAACACAGTCTCCCACTACTACAAATGATGCTGTTATGCTTCCACATTTGGGGAAAATAGCAGGGGGTCAGCACATCCCGAGTCCAGTGGATAAGCCTCATCCTGGGAAAACTACTTTTGTGATCATGGTATCTCCCCTGCCAGATAAGTCTGTTTTTAAGATAATATTTACTTTATATTAATTTTAAAGAAAGCTGATTCACTGAACAATCTATAACTGACGTGTATACAATTTCCATTTAAAAAGACTAAGGTGAACAGAGACTGGCCCACATCCAAAAGAACAAAAGCAACCTGTGCTGGCGCGGATGTGGCGAGAAAGGGACCCTCCTTCACTGCTGGTGGGAATGCCGACTGGTTCAGCCCTTCTGGAAAACAGTATGGACGATTCTCAAAAAACTAGAAATTGAGCTCCCATTTGACCCAGCAATTCCACTTCTGGGAATATACCCCGCAGAGGCAAAAAAGTATAGTCGAAGAGACATCTGCAGTTGTCTGTTCATTGCAGCACTGTTCATAATAGTTAGAATCTGGAAAATACCTGAGTGCCCAAGAACAGATGACTGGTTAAAGAAGCTTTGGTACATCTACACAATGGAATACTATGTAGCTGTCAGAAAGGATGAAGTCATGAAATTTATATACAAGTGGTACTACATGGAAAGTATCATGCTAAGTGAAATGAGTCAGAAAGAGAGGGATAGACATAGAAAGATTGCATTCATCTGGGGAACATAAAGTAACAAAATAGGAAACTAACACCCAAGAATAGCCGAGATAGGTACCAGGAGGATTACTCCATGGCTTTGAGGACAGCCACACATGCTAGGGGAAAAGGCAGCTCAGATAGAGAAGGGAGCACCAAATAAAGGGTGTTGGGAGGTTCCTCTCAGGATGGTAAATGCGTGATGAGAGTAGACTATAGTCCGAACAAGATTGCCACTCAATGTCTTTTGCAAACCACAGCACTCAAAAGGAGAGAGATAACAAAAGGGAATGCCCTGCCATAGTGGTAGGGTGGGATGGGGGAAGGGGGGTGGGAGGGATACTGGGACTGGTGGTGTGGAGAATGGGCACCGGTGGAGGGATGGGTACTCGATCATTGTATAACTGAAACCCAAGCAAAAAAGTTTGTAAGTCTACAACTGTACCTCATGGTGCTTCACTAATAAAAATTTAAAAGGTAAAAGGTAAAGGCCCTCCCGTTGATTGTCGATTTGCTCGAGCGGGCCCAGTAACGTCTCCATTGGAGACTTTGTTGTTACTGTGTCTGGCATATCGAATACTCTCGGTAGCTTGCCGGGCTCTCCGAGAGGGGCGGAGGAATCGAACTCAGGTCGGCCATGTTGGCCGCTTGGAAGGCGAACGCCCTACCCGCTGTGCTATCGCTCGGAAAAAAAAATTGAAAAGAAAAAAAAAAAGACTAAGGTGAGATTTAAAAAAAAGTACAAAGAAAAATCTAACTGCACATTTTTTTTTTTTGTTTTTGGGCTACACCTGGCAAAGATCAAAGGTTACTTCTGGCTCTGCATTCAAGCATCACTCCTGGCAGTGCTCAGGGAACCATATGGGATGTCCGAGATTGAATCCAGGTTGGCTGTGTGCAAGGCAAACATCTTACCCACTGTATTATCTATCTGGCCTGTTACCGCCTATTTTTTCTAAAGTGCACTTTTAAATATACGTATGGCAGACTAAATTCTTCCTAATAGAAACAATTAAAGTTCTAGAACTGAATTTTTAAAAAAATTATGGTGATGGATGTGGTGTTGGAGTTATGGGCGTCAAAAATCACAATTAACAGTATTGTAAACCAAAGAATCTCAATCAATAAAAAGATAAAATAAATAAAACTAACTTGGGATTTGTCAGTTAAAAAAAAACAAACCCAAAAGCTTTTTCAGGGGGAATGTTATGTCTCTTACAGTATTTCTTCTATACCGGTCCACTGTCTTTTTTTTTTCCCCCTCATTTTATTCTTTTTAAAGGACAAACTACATTATTTATTCTACTGACTATTCTATATTCTGAATTTGGTTAATTGCTACTTGTGTATCATTAATATATATGCTTAAATACATTATTAAATTTTTTATTTTTGTTTTAGGGACACAACAATGCTCAGGGGCTACTACTAGATCAGTACACAGGCTTCATGAATGATACTAGAGGACCATATATTTCCATGGATGAAGCCCAGGCCTCTCACATGTGAAGCATGCTTCCCAGAACTTTGATTTTTTCATCCCATGCTCATTTCTCATTTTTTGGGAAGAGTTTTTTTTTTTAATTAGAGATGGACAGTACTTCAACTGTATTGCATCACTAAGCATGTGAGTATCATATTATAGCACAGCGGGTAGGGTGTTTGCCTTGCACGCAGCCAACATGGCCGACCCGAGTTCGATTCCTCCGCCCCTCTCGGAGAGCCTGGCAAGCTGCCGAGAGTATTCGATATGCCAGACACAGTAACAACAAAGTCTCCAATGGAGACGTTACTGGGCCCGCTCGAGCTCGAGCAAATCGAGAATGATCAGTATGTTCCAGTGGTATTGGCCTGATTCCTCTATTATAAAATTACCATCAAGTTTCATAAAATGATTTTAACATACTTCGATAATAAATGCAGTTTATTTTATTCAGACTCCATATTTACTATATGAAATGTATAAAGTTTCCTCAATCAAATATTTGATTATGTGAAACAGAATTAATAACAGAGAGACAGAAAAAATATTTGTCTTTTTTAATATATTAATTTTCAGAGTAATGAGTTAGACACTTATGGTCATGGCCAATATATTTTTATAAAGCCATCAGATTCATAAGTTGGTCACTGTCACTGTCCTCCCATTGGTCATCGATTTGCTTGAACAGGCCCAGTAACGTCTCCATTGTGACATTTGTTACTGTGTTTGGCATATCAAATATGTCATAATAATAGAAGATAGTAATTATTAATAACTAATGATAACACACATATTAATATAAAAAGACAAGAGATTTCATGAAAGGAGCAGCTGGAGGGAAAGTTATATAACCTCAAATGCTTACATTAACAAGTTGAAAGTTTGGGGCTGGAGTAATAGCACAGTGGCTAGGGTTTTGCCTTACATGCGGCCGACCCGGGTTCGATTCCCAGCAACCCACATGGTCCCCTGAGCACCTCCAGGAGTAATGCATGAGCCAGGAGTAGCCCCTGTGCATCCTCGGGTGTGACCCAAAAACCAAAAAAAAAAGAAAAAAAGGAGTTGAAAGTTCAAAATCCAACAGGTAAAATTCCAACTTGAAATGTAAGAAAATAAGGGAATATTCATTAAATTTTAAAAGGGGGGAACATCCAACTGTGCTTGGGGTTTACTCCTGACTGTGCTCAGGGATCATTCTTGGCGGGGCTCAAGGGACCATATGTAGTATTGGACGTAGACCCTGGGTCAACCACATGCAAGGCAAGTGCCTTGCCAGTTCAGACTATCTCTTTAACTTCTCACTAATACATTTTATGAGATTAACATAATGTTTATGATGCCTGAAAAGAACAATGATTGAAAAATGATAGTTTATGGAAATAAAAGGCTGAAAACAATATTAGCAGTTTAATACAACACTGTAATTAAAATTAGAAGTATATCATGATCCAGTCTGATTTCATTCCAGACCCAGAAAGGTGGTTCAAATAAAAAAAAATGTAACTACCTAATATATCAAAAGACAGAATCTTATAATCATCTCATTGAAGCAGAAAGAGTTTATCACCTTAAATTTCTCCCCCTGGTGTTTTACTTTAAGAGAAACATGTATATGTCCCTAGGACAGGCTCACACACACACACACACACACACACACACAGACACACACACACACGACTATTCATATTGAAGGCATAAATTAAAAACTGGAAAACACTAAAATAAGAACTGGAAAATACTGAAATAAGAACTGGAGCACATATTAGCACTGAAATGAATAATTACACTGGGGCACATACAATTTTACCATGAACACCACATAGTAGTTAGGATAGATGAACTATAGTTACATTCATCAGTTTAGACCAAAACCAGGAAAATCAAACAAAGGAACTGCATTCAGATCATACAAAGCTACAGGACAGGAAAATCTAAACAACATATAGCTTAATAGCAGATATATTGTGGAAAACTCAAAGAAAGAGAAGGCTATGATTGACAATTCAGGAAGAATAGTGCTATTTCGGGTAGGTGAGAAGGATAGGGTTGGATGGGGGCTTCCATAGTTGTAATCCACAATACAACCTCTCGCAACACTCCATTTTAAAGGCAGGTGGTGGGCTAAATGTTCATTTATATTACTGATCTTAAACTGTGCAAACAGCTTTGTATCTCTCTCTCTTTTTCTTTTTTCTTCTTTTTTTTTTGCTTTTTGGGTCATACCCAGCGATGCTCAGGGGTTTACTCCTGGCTCTGTACTCAGGAATTACTCCCGGCCGTGCTCAGGGGACCATATGGGATGCCAGGTATCATACCTAGGTCGGCCTTGTGCAAAAAAAAACAAATGCCCTACTCACTATTCTATTGCTCAGACCCCATGTATCTCTTTCTAACATGCTCCATATTCTGTGAAAAAAAAAATAGAAATAAGTTGGTGTTTATATAAGAGAAAGAGGATTAAGACATCCCCTCCCCCCCACCCTGCGCAAGGAGTTTTTAATCTAACTGACAGATTTTAATCTAACTGACAGATTTCTTGGTGGAACTAGATTTGGAAAGCACTTTTTTTTTTGTCAATTTCCCCATCAATTGTTAATGAGTCTCTAAATTACAGAAGAAAGTAGAAGAAGAGCATTTGGAAAATGCTATATGGATTTGCTTCTGGCCCAATTCTGCCTATTGCAAATGCTGGGTGAAGATGGCTGTACAATATTGTAAATCTAATAAATACCACTTAAACTATATACATAAACATGATTAAAAGGGGACCAAAGAGACAGTAGGAAGGGTAGCTTGCTTGCCTTGCACACCACCAACCTGGGTTCCATCCCCAGCACCACATAGGGTTCCAAGAGTCTGCCAGAGTGAGATTTCTGAGCATAGAACCTGGAGTAAGCCCTTGAGAACCACCAGCTGTAGTCCCAAATCAAAATCAAAATGAAACAAAACAAAACAAAAAGATCAAAAGAGCAAAATGTATCTCATATATATATATATATATATATTTTATCATAATTGAAAAAAACCCCTGAGAAGTGAGGAGAAAAAAGGCAGGACCAGACAGTAGTTGTGAATGTGGTAAGAAGGACTGCACTCATTTGTGGAGTATAAAATAACGTAACATGAGGCCGACACCCAAGGACAGTTGAAACAAGGGTCAGGAAGATTGCTCCATAGTTAGAAGCCTGTCTCATGAGCGGGAGGGGAGAGGAGAGCTGAAATAGAGAAGGGATCACTAAGAAAATGATGGTTGGAGGAATTGGTCAGGATGTGCCGGAAGTAGATAAAGGAACAAACATGATAACCTTTCAATATCTGCATTGCAAACCAAAATGCAGAGAGAGAGAGAGAGAGAGAGAGAGAGAGAGAGAGAGAGAGAATGGGAAATATTGCCTGCCATGGAGGCAATGTAGGAGGGTGGGAAAGGGGGGGGGTATACTGGGGATATTGGTGGTGGGGAATGTAGAAATGGGTGTTTGATCATTGTGTGATTGTAACTCAAACATGAAAGCTTGTAACTATATCTCATGGTGCATCAATAAAATTAAAAAAAAAGAAGTGAATAAAGATCTTAATATTGCCACATCACCTTCCATTGAAATAACTTTTAAGACATTAACTTTTATGTTGCAATGAATGTTTACAGGTAGTGTCAAAGGCAAGCCTGATACTTGGTAGCTAATTAGAAATGGGAAAGTATTAGGCTTGAAGTGCGGAGGAAAGTGCTTTGAACAAAGGAAATAATGGAAGCTGTTCCACAACCCTGAGAGGCTGCTCAGCACAGATGTTGCGGCCTACAGGGCTGTTTTTTTAATCAGCACTTGCTGCAGGTAAGTAAGGTGTATATTAGGATAAAAAAAAAGGAGTTTTATTCTAAGGAAGTGAGATTTTTAATATACAGTCTTTCTGGGGCATTGTAAATACTTATTTGTATTAGCTTACACATACAGTCTTACTTGGGCATTGTGAAGACATTATTTGTAAGTGACAAAAGTCTACTTAAAGAGAAACAGACTGTTGTCCTATGCTGCCAAAAAAAGAATGAAAAGTGTCATGAAAAAAAGACACAAAGACTATTCTAAGTAAACTTATTACTAGGTAGATTCAAAGAATGCGAGTCTGCTGGATATAATCAGAGCTGCAAATGCAGTGAAGGTCTCTTGGAATCCTTATTGTGTGTGTTTATTGCTTAATGGGGAGTCACACCACATCAGAGGCAAGGCCACCACCTAGAGCAGTGGCAGCCCAGGTTGTTTAGAGCACAATTCCAGGGGCTGTTATTTACACAACCTATAATAAGATTGGATTTCTTGGAGCTTGGTAACATAGTGGCTCTATCTATAGGTGACATTGTACAAGAAATTATTTAGTGTCATGGGATAAATACTCCTCTTCCTTTAGAAACATTGATTATATAAAAATTTAAATAATATAAAACATTATTTTATATAAAAGCAAAGATGGTTATAGTTTATCTATATATGTGGAACTTGGGCTGGAACGATAGCACAGTGGGTAAGGCGTTTGCCTTGCAAGCGGCCAATATGGCCGACCCAAGTTTGATTCCTCCGCCCCCTTGGAGAGCCCGGCAAGCTACCAAGAGTATCTCGCCTGCACAGCAAAGCCTGGCAAGCTCCCCGTGACGTACTCAATATGCCAAACACAGTAACAAGTCTCACGATGGAGATGTTACTGGGCCCACTCGAGCAAATAGATGAATAACGGGAGGACCGGGACCGTGATGTGGAACTTAATATAAAGTCCACATCAGCTAAAATAATCGCCTTTGAGAGATCCCTAAATGAGAAACAGAAAGAATTTAGTCTAATAGACATAGTCAGGACCCTCTATTCCCCCAAAACTGAACTGAATGTACATTTATCTACACAACTCATGGGGCATTCTCCAAGACAGATCACTTGCTTGGGACACATTCTTGCTTGGGACACAAAATCACAAAAATGGAGATCATACCAAGTGTCTTCTCAGACTCACAAAGCCACAAAAGTAGAAATCAATTTAAAAAAGAAAAGAAAATGGGAAAAAGATGAAATACTTGGAAACTAAACAACAGAGTGCTAAATAACAACTGGATCAAGGAGGAAACCAAAGAAAAAATCAAGATTCCTCCAAACAAAAGAATGATCTCTCTCTTATACGTAGGGTTTAAAGATACACAGCAAGGTATTTTTCGTACAAAGGGCCAAAGGAATCACAGAAGAAAAACTGATTCACAGAACTGAGTTTGATGGGGGAAAGGGGGACAGTGAAAAGGAGGGGCATCGGGGACCTGGGGGAGGGAGGTGAGTACCCTAGTGATGGGTATAGAGTTGGAAGTGCAGACATGTGAAAGCAACATTTACAATAAAAGTACCTCACTCAATTAAAAAAGATAAAAAGCAAAAACAAAATTCCATAAATTAAAGATAACTGAAAGAATTGGCTCTTAAGCCACTTGGGGCTCTATTTTCCATTCCCTGGAGACCAGTATCTGCTATTAGAGCTACAACTGTGAAACAGGTATATCTTTTCTTAAATTTTTTGAGAAAGTTTTATGAATTAATAATCATTATTACCTTGGTTATCAATTTAACTGGAATGAATTGGGAGAGCCATATTTTAGCACATGATTTAAAAAATCAATAATAATATGATCATAAATATCTGGAAAGATTAAATATCACATTTCTATTTCTTTCTATCTAATGTAAAAAGTAATTTCAGTTAAATCAATAATAATATTAACTGTTTATATTGTTTTCTTATTACGTATTTGGCAATCAGCTGAATAAATCTGCATAGAAAATTATTTAAATTCAACTTGCCACTGCGGCATTATTTGTAAATACATTATCTGTAAATGACACATCTTGAATTAAGAATCATTTAGGTTTTTTTTTAGATTTAAATTTTTCTTTTTATTGAATCACAGTGAGATACACAGTTGCAAAGTTGTTCGTGATAGGGTTAAGTCATATAATGTTCCAACACCTGCCCCTTCACCAGTGTACAAGTAAATTTCCCACCATCAATGTCCCCAGTTTCCCTCCTGCCCTCAACCCCCTGCCTGCTTCTATGGCAGGTACTTTTCTTCTCTCTCTCTCTCTCTCTCTCTCTCTCTCTCTTTCTCTCTCTCTGTGTTTGTCTCATTAAGAATTTTTTAAATACAAACTAAATATAGTGTCACACAATGCAAAAATATACAGCACTGTTGTAGGTACTATCTCAAAAATGATACATGTATTTGAACAACATTCTCATGAAAAGTATGCAAATATAGACATAAAAATATTGAAAGGACATATAGCCAAGTTATTAAAGTGATCTTTGGGAGGTAATATTTTTCTTTTGCACTTTTTAAGGAATTTCCCTTGGGAAATTAAAAAAAACTATTGTCAAACAATTATATGAGTCAGATATTAAAAATATTTTTGGACAAAATACGTAAATACAACTATACCTGTGAATAAGACATCTCCCCCATCTAGGGTTGCATTTTCATCTTTCATTTCTACTATATTGAGCTGAAGTTTTTCTAATGCTTCTTTCATCATGTCAACCTGTTAAAAATAAAAGAAGTCACTTTAATATCCTACTATTTTCTAACAAAAAAATCAATGTAAAACTTGTGATTCTCTCTTGTACACATGCATGTAAACATATGAATATTTGTAGTTTAATTGGAACCTGCCAGGGTCATTTGCAAGAGAAGACATTTGCTAAAGAAATGGTTAATTTTGTTTGAGTTCAAGCCAGCAGCACAGCCTCCTTTTCCCTTGGAAGACTGGTAGGACACTGCTGAAGCTGACTAACAGGGCACAGTTGCAGCAGTGACTAGTTGTGGCCCATGAGTCAAGAAAGGTGGGACGTGGATACTGAATCCCACTACCTTTGCCAAAAAGTACAAAATCTAATTTTAAACCATAAGTCAATAAGGCAGGCAATCAATCAATCATTCACACACACACACACACACACACACACACACACACACACACACATGCACAGATTAATAATAGAGAGGAATTTCAAAGACAACCAGGGAATTGATACCTCGCCTCATAACACAATAGCTGTTTTCTAGTCAAATATTTTCTAGCATGTCAAACACCCAAGGCTTCTCTGTATATTGAACTGTTATTTAACTTCGTGCTCAAACAGTTAAAATGGCTGCCCATCGTTAATAATGTAGGTCCCTAGAAGTGACTACCAATTACAATAATTACCATTAAATCAAAAGTGAATTTCAGAGCCTTGTTATAAGTCTTTGATGAACAAAGAGATATCCTAGACAGAACTAAGGAACGCTTCTAGTAAAGCTTATTTTTAATACAAGAAGATAATTAAGGCATAACAAATGCCCTATCAAGTTCACACTGTAATTCATGTTTTTCTAGCAGCTCAAAAAAAAATATCAATGCAACTACTTCTGCAGGTTGGTATTACCTTTCTACACAGTAAATGACTGAGGCATAAGAGGGGGAAAAATACTGCATGACTGTAGTAAAAGCAGGTCTTTCTCCCAAAATACAGCACACCTAACACACTGTGATTGTCAATGATGTGTTCAGGGGTCATAAATATAGTAGAGTGAGTAGCTTCTAAAGTAATCAAAATATTGAATTACCTAAACAACAAACCTGATATTCATACAATCAAATAACAGTAGAGATGATACAAAATAAAACAAATATGTCATCTCATCCTTGTCCTGGAACTAAAAAAAATTCCACAAGCCGGAGTGACTCAGAACAATAAAAAATTATTTCCATGAACAAAATGGACTTAATGTTGTAATAAATACAAGTGTCCTCTTTTAACATCAGAATAGGTGGACTTATGTAACAGGAAGTGGAATTGTTGTTACAGCAAAATAAAAGAAACCAAACAACATTACCATGACTTGTTGTACTACAAAGAACCCAGGAAAACACACAATTGTTTCTTTGGGTATGATTCTGTATCCATGGAAAAATCATTGAGCTCAGGAGAGGGACAATGAGAACATGTTACTATTACTTTTTCTTCTATTATAAATGCCACTGTTTCCAGATGCAATGTAACATTTATTAACTGATGGGAATTCATCAATTGCATGTATAAATTTTTTATATAATATCTCAACTCAGTAATTTTCATTCAGCTCTTAAAAGTTCAAAGAGAACAGAAGTAGTCTATTTTTTTAACCAGTTTTAGAAACATTTTATTTTCTTAAAAGTCCTGTGTCTCTTAAACTTTTAGAGAATAAACAATTGTATGTATTTTAAATTTTATTTTATTGCTTTAGGGTCACACCTAGTATTGCTCAGGGCTTACTCCTCACTCTGGTCAGGGGTCACTACTGGCAGGGCTTGGGAAACAATATAGAGTATCTGAGGTCAAATCCCAGTTGGCCATGTGGAAGGCAAACTCCCTACCTGGTGGGGTATACCTCTTCAACTCCCAAACTTTTGCTTCCTTTAAAGTGAAAAAAACAGTTGCACTGACAATAAAAATCTGACTTTTGTGAAAAGGCTGATATTTTATAGTCACATCTATATAAACAAACCTATAAAGTCAGGTTCATTACTACAAATATTGGTGCTAGTTTATCATTTTCAGTGTTAAGTTTTGAACAAGTTAAAATTTAAACATCAACTGAACAATTTTGAGAATTACAGGGCCATTTGGAATTACATTCTTAATGCTAATCCTAGAGAAATTTCTAGAGAAGAAAGGAGACTGACCCTGAAGTCTATCTATTGAGAATAACATACTTTTGGCGTACGTTTCCATGAAAGATAAACTAGGATGCTGGAGAAGTCCAATGTTGCCCTGCCATATAAACCCATGGCAAGTCCCCTCTTTGGGAAACCAGAACACTACATATAATTATAGAAATGCGAATTTTTGCAAACTGTGAGCCGTTAGGAAACTGCCTGTTCTCTGATTACATAGCCATGCTTAATGTTGACTGAACTAACTTTCAAGAGAGAGGGGAAAAGACTAAACAACCACCCACCTCTCACCAAGACACTAACCTTCCAGAATGGAACTTAGCATTACTCAGGGTGGAAGGGCCTGTCAGAACAAACAGTATTAGTTCCAAAGGCTGAGCTGAATGGGGCCGTTTAGCCAATGTAATAGGAAATAAAATTAAAGAAATGCTCTTAACTTTTAACATTAACTGTATCATTTTAATTTTCTTACCATTTAAAACCTCTTTCCTTTTCAACTCTACAAGTATTGCGTGCAAAATGCACTACATGGTGTCTTTTTTTTTTTTTTTGCTTCGGGTCACACCTGGTGATGCTCAGGGGTTACTACTCCTGGCTCTGCACTCAGGAATCACTCATGGTGGTGCTCAGGGTACCACATGGGATGCCGGGGATTGAACCCCAGTTGACTGCATGCAAGGCAAATATCCTCCTCACTGGACTATTGCTCCAGTCCTTACAAGTTGTCTTAAATTGTTTCACTTTATACTCCCATTTCCCCATCCCCTATCGTTTTTTTTTTTTATTAGTGAAACACCATGAGGTACAGTTGTAGATTTACAATTTTTTGTGCTTGGGTTTGGATTATACAATGATCAGATACCCATCCCTCCACCAGTGCCCATTTTCCACCACCATGGATAATATCCCCCACCCCCATCCCCCCATACCCCCCTGCCTCTGTGGCAGGGCAATCCCCTGTGTTCTCTCTCTCCTTTTGGGTGTTGTGGTCTGCAAAAGAGGCATTGAGTGGCAAACATGTTCAGTCCATAGTCTACTTTCGACATGCATCTCCCCTCCTGAGAGGATCCTCCAAACACCCTTTATTTGGTGCTCCCTTCTCTATCTGAACTGCCCTTTCCTCTAGGATACCCGGCTGGCCTCTAGGTTATGGAGTAATCCTCCTGGTGCTGATCTCAGCTATTCTTGGGTATTAATCTCATATTTGGTTACTTTATATCCCCCAGATGAATGCAATCTTTCTATGTCTATCCCTCTCTTTCTGACTCATTTCGCTTAGCATGATACTTTCCATATTGTACCACTTGTATGTAAATTTCATGACTTCATCTTTTCTAACAGCTACATAGTACTCCATTGTGTAGATGTACCAAAGTTTCTTTAACCAGTCATCTATTCTTGGGCATTCAGGTTTCTTCCAGTTTCTGGCTATTGTAAAGAGTGCTGCAATGAACAAACAAGTGCAGATGTCACTTCGACTACACATTTTTGCCTCTCTGGGATATATTCCCAGGAGTGGTATTGCTGGGTCAAATGGGAGCTCAATTTCTAATTTTTTGAGAATCGTCCATACTGTTTTCCAGAAGGGCTGAACCAGTCGACATTCCCACCAACAGTGAAGGGGTGTCCCTTTCTCGCCACATCCACGCCAGCATCGGTTGCTTTTGCTCTTTTGAATGTGGGCCAGTCTCTGAGGTGTGAGATGGTATCTCATTGTGGTTTTGATCTGCATCTCCCTGATGATTAATGATGTAGAGCATTTTCTCATGTGCTTTTTTGCCATTCGGATTTCTTCTTTGAGAAAGTTTCTGTTCATTTCATTGCCCCATTTTTGGATGGGGTTGACCATCCCCTATCTTTTCTCTTTCTATCATTCACTATAAGATTCATTCCCTGGCCACAGTGGCTTCAGACTACCTCTGATTCTTCCAATAATCCAAGCCATATGCTCTTTACTTCAAGAGTGGTTACTAGTATCAAGGTAATTAGCCTTTTTTCCCTTCTTTTCTCCTGTCTCTTTTCCCATTATTCCTCTCTCACTTCCTCTCTTTTTCTTTTCTTTTTTCTTTTCCAAAGTCAGTATTCAAATATGTAGAGGATTAGAATTACACATTCACCATCACTATAATGGGAATGGCACAATATTGCAGAATATATGTTATGATTAAAGACCTGTATTCAAATCCCAACTTTGCAACTTATTTAAAAAATATTTTGATGAATATTAATCACGAACCAGCTTGTGAGCATCCAGTGACAATTATAGTATGAAATAGATCCAGAAGAGGAAAGTTGTATTTTCTTATACTTGGACACATTTTTTTTTGTGCTTTACCTTCTTATGATAGACCTCATCTGCTTTCCAGTAAATAAAAATTTCAGTCCTTCCACAAAGTCTGTATAAAATTAGGGCGCTTACATTGAGAACACATTTAAATTTATATTATTCCAATTTGATATCCTTCTTATGCATGGAAATTGCTAGACCATGTGGGAGATTTCTCATATAATTTCTGCTTTGAAGTTGTCTCTGGAGGTAACTGCATAAGACAGGAAGTGAGCTTTTCTGATAAGATGTTCCAAAGGGCAAAAACAGTGCTCCATGAGATGACATAGAATCACTGCAGTAATGAAGACATTACCACTCTAGTGGACCCAATTAGTGTAAGGAATTCCCTCTCTTTCTCAAAGATCTCCTTTGCCTACCCCTTTCCTTCTAAACTCTTTTACTTTCTTTCATTTCTGTTCCCTCATTTGTCTTTTCACATTTTCATCATTGTCTTATCTTCTTCCACTGCTTCTGGGCGTCACTGGCAAAAGAAGCTGGGTTTTGAAAACAGACT